TAGAACTTGGTTATAAATACAACCTTCCGATGTCTATTGAAACACTGCATTAAAGCAAACAAGTAAAGAAAAACATTTCAAAAAAGGGAGTAAATGTATGGATGGCTAATATCAATCCTTCAAAAACAATGCAAACAAGATAGTAGGGATGGCATTTGTATCATCCCTACATAATAGTAAAGACAAGAATTAACATATATCAATAGATATATAACTATTCAATCACAGTTGAGTTTAATTTATCCTATTTTTGTTTGTTAACATTCTATTACACTGTGTGCCCGTGCTATTATGTAGGGATGATGCAAATCGACGTAAAATAATTTTTCATCTTTTATGAAACAAACTATACAATCTGACTGTATTCCAGGGTTGTCTCTGATCGGACCTACCAATAAGGTTACGAAGACAACGTGCTTTTGGTACAGAACACACTTCAGACAATATACAGGGTGGTCCAAAAATATTTTTTCTATTTCAAAATTTAATAATCAAACAAGTAAGGAAATACAACCATGCAGTTTTCAACATCTTGTTGCCAAACTCAGTTTTTATTAACATGTATGTAGTTTTCTACGTGTGCAATATTAGTGGCTCTCAGCACGTCTAACCGATATTCGATTTCAGTCCACGTTCGGTGCAACATGTCCATGGTTACAGTAGCGATGGCGTCCGTTGTCCTGATCTTTATCTCCGTGATGTTTACTATAGGAGTGCGATACACGATGTCCTTAACATACCCCCAAAGAAAGAAGTCTAGTGGAATGCTGTCTGGCGAACACGAAGACAATATAATTGGCCCACCCCGACCAATCCATAGAATTGAGACTTTTCTTGCTATTTTATTGGCTAACACTATTCATAGGATAGAAAAAAAAACATGACAATAAAACCTGTTTTGGCTACAAGATGTTGAAAATTGTATGAGTGTATTTCTTTTGTTATTTAATTATTAAATTCGAAAATCCCTGTATATCGGCGAGAAATAGGCAACTCGAAACACCATTTGGGACAACAATATAAACGTAAAACATTAACATTGAATGAATAAAATTTAGTAAAAAAATAAATTTTCTCACTTATACTAAAATAACATATTATGCAACTGTGGGGTTGAAACAAAAAATATGCGTTAAAAGCTTACTAAAAATTTCAATGTAATAAATTTTATAAATGCATAGTTTAGATTTAGCTGCAGGAAATTAACGAGAATCTCAAACTTATTCATACAAAAGGTAATCATGACATCTATCTCGCATATCTTTTAAAGGACGCTGGTTTTTAGAGCTAAGATATTATGATATAAAGTATTATTAAACTTGATACTAGATAAACATTTCCGATTAAAGAAAGCAGCATACAAGAAACTGAGAAAGAAAAATATTTGTTAAACTGTTTTCGATACTTGTTGTTAATTCTGTGTTCCTTATTGTTGCTACTTCTCGAAGTATGTTTTTCGCACTTTAAAACTTGCATTAGCTTCTGTGTTATTCAAAAATTGCTAGAAACACCAGGTCGACACGTTTCAATTATTAATTTACACTTGAGTAACGATTAATTTCTGAATAGTGTGTGAAACTGTGTGTAAAAACACAAAATATTTGTTCTTTTTTTACGATAAACGTTTTATTCATCATTTGATCATTTTTAAATGCCAAGTAGCGACATCTATCCATAACCTTTGGAACTATTTCGAAACTACTAGTATCACGTGACTTCCATACAGTATGTATACTGATTTAAATTTTTAATAAAATGGTCATAAAACCAAATTAGCTCAAATGTAATAGTGTTTATAGAAGCTTTATTTATTTTTTACTAAAATGATACAAAACGAGTTTATTATATATAAAAGCTGAAAAATAATATGTGATCAATATGCTTAGATTTTTGCAGGGGGGGGGAAGGCCCTCTTGACTACGCCTCTATACAGTTGCAGTTAAAAATAATTTAAGAATGCATTCCATATTAGTTTCAACTTCAACTATTTTTCGTCTAAAAGCTACTGTAGGAAGTGAATTAGCCCGACTTTGATACTTAACGTTCACTATTAAAATCAAATTGTAAGGTATATAGTTCGATTCGATTATTTGATTATTTTTAATTTGCTCTCTCCACTTGCTTTTGTTCAAAAACTCGAGTAAAAGCCAAAATATTAATCAATTCACAACACTAGATGGAATTCTTATTTTTGTATTTGTATACAACACTGAATAAGACGTGTGTGGTATCCCATAACCAAAGAAAGTTACTCAACATATACTTGATTCGTTCCTCCAATTAGAATTCGTATAGGACTATTAACTTCCAATCGGAGCAAGTTACCTATTTAGAGAGTAGCCAAAATCCAACCTGGTAATGAGTATAGCTCATTAAATATACATTTCATATGTTCTTATTTTTTAAAGGTTAGAATGCATTGTTTCAACAGTTGGGTACTTCACTGTTAACGACATTTTTGGCCATAATCCCAAGAATCTCACGAGGTTCAGCCAGTTTAAGGTATTTAGCTTGGTCCTAAATACATATATTCACCTAACAATGCAAAACAAAAACAGGCAATCTCTCCAATAAAACTATAATGATAGATAGAGGAGAGGGTCAAAGTAGCGTCCGGAAACTCTGGTTGAAACATATAGAATTCTCTCTAGGTAAAACAGCTTTCATTACGCTTACATATCGTTGTTAGTGTACTATAAACCTATACTTTGGGATGGGCAAAAAAATTCTGATAGAAATTGACAAATGTGTTGTTTATAGACTCCTTGGAACTGCGCAGAAGTGAAAGTTGGAACGATTCTGTACAATGCTACAATGTGAATATCAATTTTGCAAGAACACCAAATAAATACAACAATAAACAAGATTTTACTGTTCAATACAATTTTCAAGCCGTTCCAATATGCTCGTGGGACATGGTCTGAAAAGAGCCACTCGTGTATGCAACAAACTATGGACAATCGTAGTTCGCACGCAGCTGCTGTGTGTTGTAAAACTAGATATTCCTAGCTACCGGATATAGTGGGAAAATTTGCAGGCTTTATCGAACAGAACCAAGCAATCAAACAACAGCCAATGGAGGGTGGTCAAGGTCCAGTGTGTACCTGATTCTCTTGACCACATGACAACAGTAAACAACCAAAGAGAACTGAGTGACGACATAACGTCCAAGATAAAACGCCTTCAAGTGGATTACTGGATAGTGTGAAGCAGGACAAAGTCCATTTGTAAGGAAAAAGAGAGAAGGTTAGTTGTAGTAATTATAATAATATTCTCCAGAAACCAGTTATCATCTACCGGGGGAGGAGGAAAGGAAGACGTCAAATGCACCTGATCTCTAAGGTCAATAAGACCTAAAGTCCGATAAAGATGGCCCAGCATGACCAACTGGTTAAGGCGCTCGATTCGAAATCTGAAAGGTCGCGGGTTCGAATCCCCATCCCACCAAAAATGCTCGCCCTTTCAGCCATGAGGGTGTTATAATGTGACGGTCAATCCCACTATTCGTTGGTATTCGTTTTATACTATTACAAAAATAAAAATCCACTGAAACAAGATATAAAGAATTTGATCATCAAGGATAACAATCAATACTTTTCTTACCTTTTACTTCTTGTTAAAGTTGTTTGTTTGACAGGACGTAAAACGATAATTAGCAAACATTAACCAGGCTCTGCTTTGATAATGTTGCGTCAGCGAGGTCACGTGACTAGTATCACGCCACTCCTTCTCGAACCTTCGTGAATTGTCGGGAGATTACTAGATTGGGGGGTAGTCTGGTATATATAAGACGCTCACAACGTGACGGAACAGTGTAATGAGTAATTGAACCGCAGTCAGAGAGTGTGTAATTGAACGGAGTATTGTCGAGCTCGTGAGACGTGAGTTATAGCGTTTGTTACAGAGCGACTGTTGAAATTAAGTGTATCGTAAAGTTGTATTCTGAAAGAATAAACCAGTTTTATTTAAGAAAGGACTTGTGTCGCTAAAGTGTCGTGGGAACGAATTTACGGAAAATTAAGTAACGACTGGAGGCGTAACAATAACGACATTTTTAATAATATGTACTGGTTTTAGAACACGTTATCCAATCAGAATGCTTCCAGTAACCGATGACGTCAGACGTCAGAATGCACTGTTAATTAAAGAGAAGTACGTTACGACATGTGGGTGACTTGTTTTATATATTTGAAAAGTATTTCTCCTGATACAAGTTGAAATGAAATATGAAGCTTTAGGGAGAGAGGGGAGGGAATAACACGTATACAAAAATATAAGCTCAAAACTGAAATACTGAAAGGGACAATTTCAAGTACAATAATTTGTGAATGTATAAAATTCAAGCTGAAATAATATATACCTCAATGTATACCATTTGGTACTTATGACTTATTTTACATGGGGGGGGGGATAATTGAGCTGTCGTTAATTCTAGTAAATACATTTATGCCCCCACAGTGACACAGCGGCATGTCTGCGACTTACAACGCTAGAATCTGGGTTTCGATACCCGTGGTGGGCAGAGTATAGATAACCCATTGTGTAGCTTTGTGCTTAAATTACAAACAAACAAGTACATTTATTTATTAACTCTGGAATAGAATTTTATAATTTTAAATATGTTTTTTTTTATTTTTAACTTCACAAATATTTTTACAGGTGTAAAAGTTTTGATCTACCGCAAACTAGGAAAATCCTTGCTCTAGTTTTTTTTTTTTTTTTTTTTTTTTAACTAAGATGTTTAAATCATTTGGGGTTATTTCTCATATCCACCGAATCTGAAGATTTTTGTTTTAGTGTTAGAGCGCTGAATTTTGAACGACAGATTGTGATATTTCTGTAACATAATGAAACGACGTAAGTATCTGAAGACATTTGGTCTAATGTTTGAAAATCTAGATCTGTTTAAAACTTTTCGCTCAACCTTACCCTTAGTTGTTAACGATAATAGTCAAACGGGACACAGACTTAATAACTTGCGAATCAAAATGTTACATGAAGACAAAATAGATTTAATATAATATTTGTGGGAGAACTACCAAAGCTATCTGCCATCTGTCCCTAAGTTTTAACTACCGACCAGAGAGAAGACAGCCGGTCAGTAGCACCCTGACACCCAGTTGGATTAACTGTCACTCTTATATCAAACTCATAACTCAAAGTGGAGTTCGCTTGTTGTGAAATTCACACAGCTCTATCACAAGGTCAACCTGCTCCTACTATACGTCTATAATTACAAATAACGATTCTGTGAAACAAAGACACTAAGTACTCACGAGGAGAGAGAGTACGAGTTCCACATACCTTAGTTTCTCGTCGAGAAAGATCGATCATTTTTCTCGCTTCCTGTTTTATCGTAGAGAGACGCGAAACTACTATCCTTACTCTAGATTAGATTGGAGTTTCTGCTCCAACGTTTTATAAGTTTCCATGGTAAAAGACAGAGAGAGAAAAAAACACTGTCTAGACCTTTTCTAGTCTCTGCCCCATATTCATCCTGCCGCAAATCAGCAAAATAATTAAATTTAAAGAGAATTATTTTTTTTCCTGTAAGTTGTTTGGTGAAGCATCTCTTGAAATATGATGAGAAATGTAAAACAAATTTACATTTTTAATATGCTGGATAAAGTGAGTCTTCGATTTGTGAAATACGAAAATAAAACCGAAACATTAAAGACATTCGTAACATGAAAAATTGTAGAGGGCGTAGGAAATTCTGGCACACTGCCAGAAAGAGCAGGTACAGGAAACACTCGGAATAGGCAGGTGTTGAAACACGTGTAAAGGCGTTCTAAATAGCATTCCAGGATGTAAAAAAATATTTAAAACAATGCGAAAGTTCGTGTTGAGATTTGAGACAAGGTTTGTTTGTTTGTTTGTAATTAAGCACAAAGCTACACAGTGGGGGTGTCTGTGCTCTGCCTACCACGGGTATCGAAACCCGAATTCTAGCGTTGTAAGTCCACAGACATACCACTGTGCCACTAGAGGGCATTTGGGACAAGCTTGACTCGTCCTTAATATGAATAAATACGACATTGTGACAGTTTGCCATTCACAATCTTGTGATAGTTAATTAAGAAGCTTTTTGAAGACTATCTTTTATAATAATAAAAAAAAGAATTTTAGAACAAAAACAACGTCGTTTTCGATAAATATTTGTATGTATGTTTGTTGTAGAAAAAAAATACTTTTTTATATAGATCGAGGCATTAATCCATACAGACTTAGGACGATTAGTCACAAGTCCTTGTTTCAAATAGGAGTCTCTAATATAATGTTTACTTGAATTGTTATTCTTAAAATGTTCATTGTCATCAACAACATTAGTACACTGTCTTGGACGACAATTATTTACAACATTACTACACTGGTTTGGACGACAATTATTTACAACATTACTACACTGGTTTGGACGACAATTATTTACAACATTACTACACTGGCTTGGACGACAATTATTTACATTACTACACTGGTTTGGACGACAATTATTTACAACATTACTACACTGGCTTGAACGACATTTATTTACAACATTACTACACTGGCTTGAAGGACAATATTATACAACATTACTACACTGGCTTGGACGACAATTATTTACAACATTACTACACTGGCTTGAACGACAATTATTTACATCACTACACTGGTTTGAACGACAATTATTTACATTACTACACTGGTTTGGACGACAATTATTTACAACATTACTACACTGGCTTGGACGACAATTATTTACATTACTACAATGGTTTGGACGACAATTATTTAGAACATTACTACACTGGCTTGAAGACAATATTATACAACATTACTACACTGGCTTGAACGACAATTATTTACAACATTACTTCACTGGCTTGGACGACAATTATTTACAACATTAATACACTGGCTTGAACGACAATTATTTACAACATTACTTCACTGGCTTGAACGACAATTATTTAAAACATTACTACACTGGTTTGGACGACAATTATTTACAACATTACTACACTGGCTTGGACGACAATTATTTACAACATTACTACACTGGCTTGGACGACAATTATTTACATTACTACACTGGTTTGGACGACAATTAATTACAACAGTACTACACTGGCTTGAACGACAATTATTTACAACATTACTACACTGGCTTGGACGACAATTATTTACATTACTACACTGGCTTGGACGACAATTATTTACAACATGACTACACTGGCTCGGACGACAATTATTTACAACATTACTACACTGGTTTGGACGACAATTATTTACAACATTACTACACTGGCTTGAAGGACAATTATATACAACATTACTACACTGGTTTGGACGACAATTATTTACAACATAACTACACTGGCTTGAACGACAATTATTTAAAACATTACTACTCTGCCTTGGACGACAATTATTTACAACATTACTACACTGGCTTGAAGGACAATATTATACAACATTACTACACTGGCTTGAAGGACAATATTATACAACATTACTACACTGGCTTGGACGACAATTATTTACAACATTACTACACTGGCTTGAAGGACAATATTATACAACATTACTACACTGGCTTGGACGACAATTATTTACAACATTACTACACTGGCTTGGACGATAATTATTTGCAACATTACTACACTGGCTTGAAGGACAATATTATACAACATTACTACACTAGCTTGAAGGACAATATTATACAACATTACTACACTGGCTTGAACGTAAATGTATGGATTTTATAAACACATGGATTTATCAAGTCAAACAGCATTTTAAATACATATCAGTTGTACAGTTGTATGTCCAACCTGTAGAGAAGGTGTAAAATATAAGTAATACTTTCAAAGCAGCATAGTACAATATTATATTGTTACTTACAAATATGTAAACTATTACATAGTACAATATTATATTGTTACTTACAAATATGTAAACTATTACATAGTACAATATTATATTGTTACTTACAAATATGTAAACTATCACATAGTACAATATTATATTGTTACTTACATACGTGTAAACTATCACGTTGTACAATATTATATTGTTACTTACATAAATGTAAACTATCACATAGTACAATATTATATTGTTACTTACAAATATGTAAACTATCACGTTGTACAATATTATATTGTTACTTACAAATATGTAAACTATCACATAGTACAATATTATATTGTTATTTACAAATATGTAAACTATCACGTTGTACAATATTATATTGTTACTGAGATGTATGTAAACTATCACGTTGTAAAATATTATATTGTTACTGAGATGTATGTAAACTATCACGTTGTAAAATATTATATTGTCACTGAGATGTATGTAAACTATTACACAGTATAATATCGGTGGCCAAGTGGTTAAGGCACTCGACTCGCAATCTGAGAGTCGCGGGTTCGAATCCCTCTCACACCAAACATGCTCGCCCTTTCAGCCGTGGGGGCGTTATAATGTGACGGTCAATCCCACTATTAGTTGGTAAAAGAGTAGCCCAAGAGTTGGCGGTGAGTGGTGATGACTAGCTGCCTTCCCTCTAGTCTTACACTGCTAAATTAGGGACGGCTAGCGCAGATAGCCCTCGTGTAGCTTTGCGCGAAATTCAAAAACAAAACAAACAGACAAGCTAAACAACCGTGTCAGAGATCCTACCGTTTATATACAGCCGTCACTCGTTCAGAAATTATGACTAAGGGAGGGCAACCAGTCAACAGCACAGGCCGCATAACGGACTAGTAATATAGACTAGTAAAAAGTCACTACATCTGAAAGTACGGACCGTGTTTAGCGACATATCACAGGCTTGAACCTAGGACCTTTACATCCACAACCCGCTACGTTAGACTCTAGACCACTTATTAGATTGAATGGAACATAGCATAATGATAAATATTTCCAATGTTTGAAGGAGATTAGTGTTGTCAAGAAATGAAAGAACGTTTATTCTCGTATAAGCAGTAAATTCCATAAATTATCTCTCTCTCTCTAAGAAAGGTGCAGCATTAGTAAATAAAGTATTTAGGTTAATCAACAGAACTGATAGAATCGTATAACTTATTTTTATCTTTAAAAATGAAATTAGATAAACGTGAAGGTCATAAAATTGTGTTTTGGTTTTGGTTGTCGTTAAGCGCAACGCTACACAATGGGCTATCTGTGCTCGGCCCAACGCGGGTATCAAAATCTGATTTTTTGAGCTACTTGGAGGTTATAGAATTACAGTATTAATTAAATTACAGTTTACAGTAGTTGTTTAAAAAGTTGCAATATTAAGAATCTGTATGCCTTAAAGTTTAACATCAATACTTTCTTTACAGACAACGAAGTTTGACCTTTTTTTTATCGAAGATTCAGATATTACTCGAGACCAGATACGTGTTCTAACAGATTCTAGAAAGTTTTCATGACAGGAGGTCATGTCTCCAAATTTATTGTGCACATCTCGGTCCAATAAATGCCTGTTTCTACCGCTAGGGATGAATAAAGTATCTCCAGAGTCACTTGGGATGCCTTATCTTCTTCTGGAAGTCACATCTACAAAGCCATAGAACATTATGCACACCTTGGTAGAACTAATGCCTCTTTCTACCGCTAGGGGCGAATCTCATCTCCGAAGTCAGTTGGGCTGCCTTATTTCCTCTATTTTATTCTGGAAGTCACATCTACAAAGCCATAGAACATTATGCACACCTTGGTAGAACTAATGCCTCTTTCTACCGCTAGGGGCGAATCTCATCTCCGAAGTCATTTGGGCTGCCTTATTTCCTTTATTTTCTTCTGGAAGTCACATCTCTAAGGCCACGGAACGTTGTGCACAACATCCTTGTTTTAGTGCCTGTTTCTACCGCTAGGGTGAATCACTTATACTGCCTTACTTCCTTTATTTTCTTCTGGAAGTCACACCTCTAAAGCTATAGGACGTTGTGCACATCTTGATTATTTTAATACCTGTATTAACTGATATTTATCACCAAATAAAATAATCTCGCTAACAACGGCCCAGATATCAGTAAAAACATTCTCAAACAAACAATCACCACATATTGTGAACTATCCAATTCTTGGACTAAATTCTTTCATGCTTGATTTTTTTCTTAGTCAACCCAGGAATTTTAACAACAAAGCTGGCTGTTAGATATATCCTTCCAAGTTAACTCATAGCTAATAAAAAAAAAGGCATCAAGTATTCGAGCAAAGATGTTTTGTGGTGTCATTTAAAGATAATGATAGTTTGTTTTCTTTGTCAGTGAAAAGTATAGCAAATAAGATATAAATCAAATAGAAAATAAGGCATTTCATATCTCCCATGAAAAACTTCCCAAGATAATTATGTCACTCAGAACATTGTTTCTTGTTTTATTATCGTCCTCTGCCAACAAACACACCCCTGTATCAAATACACAGTACACCCCTATTTTACTGTAGTTACGCAGCCCTAATCACTAAGCTAG